ATCCCAAACATTTGCCATCATGAATCCATAGGGACGGGAGACCACTTGTATCACGGGGTCATGGATTTTAATAGGGAACCACCTCAAACCTGAGTAGTGGACATGAATCCCCACTGAATTTTGATGTCCGCCAAAGGGTCCGGCTGGCTGGTTGGCTGGTTGGCTGGTTGGCTGGTTGGCTGGTTGGCTGGTCCGTTCGCTGATTTGGCTGGCAGCTTGCTCGGGTTTTATTTGGCTCGTTGGCTCGTTGCTTTGGCCAACTTGAAATATCCGCAGCCGGTTTCCCATCCCAGGCTCTGGAAGGAATGCCTTGAAGGCTCGGATCTGGGCCCGAGCCCCGGGGACTGGAGCCGAGCGGCGGCAGTTCGACCCTCAAGTTGGGTGCATGTTTGTTGGGCTGTGTTTAAGGCACCATGTCGACCCTTGACTAAAAACGCAAAAAAAATACCATGGGAAACCTGGTCTAATTAATCATATACCAACTGAAGAAACCCCTGCATTGACTTCTTGGTACCTGAGCTCGGGTGTGGCTCCGATGGAAGACATCATGCTTGCGACTCCCAACACCATTGACGTCTGACAAGTTATTGTCCGGGAACTGTCTTTGGTGACTCGAGATGAAAGCCCAGAGTTCACTTGAAACACCGCACCGTGCAACTTTGCATGTTTAAAGGGAAACCGAACCAAGCACCATTTTTTTTGGTTTTGGGGGGGGCGGGCGGGCCCCAGAAACAGACACGCCCATCTCTTGCCATTGGGCTCTGGAAATGCGTATCGACAAATTTGACGTCTATTTGCGTGAAGTGTTGGTTTTCAGGGTGGAAGCGCAATGTGACCGCTGGTTCAATTTTTGAGACTGGGAGGCATTTGCAACACCAAGACGGCAGTGCCTTGGGCACCTTCCAAGCTCACCCATACCCCCCCCGCCCCCAAAGTGGCTTAATGGGCCTCACTGGGACCTTTTGATGCACAAGTTTTACACGCAGATACCAAAGACGGGTGTTAGAACCTTCCAGGTTCCAGTGAAGTGGCATCCGGCTGATGCAAGCCACCCTTGGGACCCTAGGGGGCTGCAGACCCCCGCTGAGTGTCTGCGGAAAATGGCGGTGTTGAGGCAAAGACTTGGAGCAAGAGGTTCGGGGCAAGAAGACCGAGGCGGGCCAAGGGGATTTGACCCAAAGCTTTCAATGACTTCGCAATCGGAATGACACAAATGGGGGGCCAATCGGATCTGTGACCAAATATGGCTCTGATATCAGCACAATGTTTTGGGGTGGGGAGGTGTTTTGGGTTCTTGTGGGGGGGTTGGCAAACGATCTGTGCGCGGATTACCTCTTGCACTCGATAGTTCTTATGGTTTCCCCTTAACCGAAAATTGTTGCGTTGTGTTGTTGTTTTTGTTGATTTCCCCCACACAATGATGCGGTTCTGCTCTTTCCACTTAATTCAGTCAAGCATGTTTTTTGGAAGGAATAGGAAAGACCCTACGCACCCGTTGATGTGGAGAGCGACACAAATCGGCAGCCTTCACTCCAAAGGTACGGCAAGGTAGCCCACATGCAAAGGTTCACTCTTTTTGAAGTGGTTCTATTGTCATTGCCTGGCTCGGGTTATGGCATGGTCGATGTGATGACTGCGCGGGAGACTTTGACTTGACTGCTTGGTGCTCAGGCAACCTTGCTGGGAAGTGGAGAACCTTGGCGGTTCCAGGAGCAGCCGACGGATTCTGTGCTCGCTCGCAAGGGTCTAGTCCAAATTGCTGTCCTGATCCCTAAAGCCTGGCGCAGGGATGCACTCGTGCTAGGTCTGTTTTGGGTAAAGGGTGTTTGATGTTTGTCACGGGGCCTTTGTCAGCTGGTGGGTTCTTTGTTTGTGGACCCAATCTGGAGTGGTGTTTCCTTGAGTTTCTGGTGGTTTCAATTTGGATAACCTATGTACTTCTAGAAGGATTTAACTTTTTCAGAACGACACCTGGGACAAGTTTTATCACAGTCGATCATGCCCATTGTTTCCTTCCAAAACAAGCCAATGGTGAGATGCCTGGATGCATGGGCGCGCCAGCTGGAAGGTGAGCTTGGTGTGAAGGACAATATTTGGGTGTGTTTTTGTGTGAAGTATAAACTTTGGGTTGTGAATATGGTGTGTCTTTAGGGTATAATCCTTCTTGGTTTGTGAAGGCAAAGGGAAGCCTGCGCCTTCCGAGAGGATGGGGCGCCCTACCGCACATCAGATCTGACTGCGCTGGTCAGCGCATCGGCACCCAGATGGTTTCGGCTCGGTGCTCGTGTGAGATTGATCAGCTGGATTTTCTAGAGATTCAGCCAATTCAGCAGACAGGCCTTTTCTGAGTTCCAACAAGTGAGTTTCAGATTTAGACGAAGAGTCAGGGAGAAGTTGCTAGCTTCAGAATATTGGAAATCAATTGGTTTGCGGACCTTTCCCGATTCATGCATGAATTCCTAGCTTCTTTCCAAGAACACCCACCTGGCGTATCGCTTGGAAGATTGACAGACTGGTATGTTTTCTTGGGTTCTGAACCTCTTTAATTAACGGGTTCCCCAAAGAAACCGAACCATGGCTTTTTGCAAGCCGTCCTTGGAACAAAAAGGCGATCAACTCGAGCCTTTGCGGGTTGTTGAAAGGGAATCCCCTTGAACATGTTGAACATGAAGTTGGCACAGGGCACAGGGTTCTTAAACTGTCTGACATCTAGAGAGACCTGTCAAGGAAGTCCATCTTCTTCAGCTGAGGTAGGTGTCTTGCAGCACCTCCGTGGCAAACGGGCCTGGCTTTGTGGCACAGCTTGGGTAGCCCAGGAGCTCAACAACCAAGAAAAAGGTGACCAGGGTAGAACAGTGAGTTATTTCACAAATTGGAAGCAGGGCTTGGGAATTGATGGGAATTGATGGCAGTTGGAGGGCAGTAAGCAATCAATTCCAGCCAGAACTAGAGGCGGATGGTCCTGTGACTACGGGCATAGGTTTCGGGTATAGTCCTTTGCTGGGTTTGCTTGTGACTCAAACAGCATTTGGTAAGATGCTGTGCAGTTCAGAGAGCGCACTCCGTTGCTTCTGTTGCAGCGTCCTAAAACGATCATGCTGGGTCAACGTTTGAGAGCATATGCACTTGACAGAAGTAGGTGTTGAACATGTAACAATCCTAGGCTGATGATTGACCGCAGCTTTGTAGGACCACTGGTTTCTAGGAAACAGCCAGCTTCGCCCAACTGTCGATCTAAGCAGTTGTTGCTCTCGTCTGGTACTCTTTCAGGGTCGGTCAACCACCTCCAGAACTATAGAACGGCGTGTGCATATATATATATATGTATATATATATTAATAAGGGCTGACCTAGGTAAAGGACCAGGTGACTTCCCAGAACTTGCTTATCTGGTTCTGTCGATTTGTAGGGAAGTTGCAAAGAGCACGGTGTTGCTGCTATGCCACGGGTTGGAGGGTTGGGAAGATGAAGCCATTTCGCCTCGCCGCAGAGGTTTGCGGCTCGGTGGCGCCGGCTGCAGCGAGGCGGGGGACCCTCCTCTTCCCCCCCCAACTGTGAGCATGGTGCTTGTAGAACAACAAACTAACAGCAGGCAGCAGGGAAGTATTCGTGCTCTTTTTTTTGAGGTGGGACTTTGAGACACTGGACAAGATCTTGGTGCTTCGTTTGGCACTCGTTTTGGGTTTCTGGCGTGCACAAGCAATTCCTGGTTTGGGGGTCAGGTTGGTGAAATATTTGGATTCTCTCTTGCTTTAGCAAGTAGTGGGGCAGCTATTCCCACAATGCTGTCATGCATCGTTTTGTTGCGTGCTAACTGCCGTCCAAGAAAATCGGCTCCGGAGCATGACTGTTCCCCTACTCTCCCCCTAGACCGCCCGCAAGGCTCCCCAGGCCACAGGCTCTTTGTTCCAACTCTTTGCTCTTCTGCACGGTGTTCGCTTCGCTCTTTTTCTTGCTCAATCCGCTGTGTTCTCTTCGCTTTTTTCCCCCTCTTTGCTCGGCTCCTCTCTGCGCTCTTTTCTCTTCGCTCTGCTCTTCTTTGCGCTCTTCTCCCCACTGTTGGCCGTGCTCTTTCTCTGCTCCTTCTCGGCTCTTCTGCTCACTCTTTGCTCCACTCGCTCTCTGCCTTGTACTTTTCGGCGCTCTTACCCTCGCTCTGCGTTGCTCTGCCGTGTGCTTTTTGCATCACACTCTGCCCGGGTGTGTTCGATTGCTTTGGCCATTGTTCTTTTTGTCCTCTCTAGATCCCTCCCGTGTCAACCCCTGTGAGTGAGCTGGAGCTGCACATCGACCTTGTGCGTATACTAGCTTTCGTTTCCCTCCCCTGGCCTGACATTATAATCCACCCACAGTGCAGTACAGAAGACCAGGCCGGGTTTGCGGACATGTTAGTGCTAGCGCTGGATGTTCTCAGCTTCAAGTCTCCTTGTATAGGGACAGGCAACATCCTCCCCCTGACACTGGGATAGCTTGCAGATGTTGCTGGGCTTTGCTGGTCATGTCGCAAGCTAGCAGACTCAGACACCTGAACACCGACTCCCAGACGGTTTGTCAGATTTTGCAGAACCTGTGACGCATCCCCGCGACTCCAAGGCCTGCCGTCATGGGCACGCCAGGCAGGAAGCTTGCAGCCAAGAGAGCCTTACTTTCGGGCGGCTTCACGTTGGGGCTTGTGCAAATCCACAGTTCATGGGGGGCCCATCACCCAGGAAAGTGAGGGAAATCATTCACATTGAAGACGTAAGGCAAGTGCCTACAAGTCGCTTGTCGCTGCAAGGATGCCTGGGTGCGATCAGTTTGCTTCTCAGATGGCGTCACCCCAAACCTCCCCAATGAGGGAAAGTGACCCGTAGCCGTTTGCTGGTTTTGGTCAGAGGCATGGCGTTTGCAAAGTCTCTCTGGCGCCTTGCGCAGGGCATCGAGTGTTCCTCGCAGCGGAAGAACCGTAGCCATGCCAAAGTGCATCGCTGAGGAACATTGGACGTGCTTCGCAAAATGACAAAAGTCGTTCCAACTACTGGATTGGAGTCCATCAAGTCATGGGCCCTGGGTGTGACCCGTGCTAGGGGTTTCTTGTTGCCTTGCCCCTCTCTCTTGTGAGTCCAGTTGTGTGAGAGGGCCGTTTGGTGTTGATTAAAATATTGACAATCTTGCTCGCAGGCTTGGAACGCTCATAGCCACGTGGTCAATGGAGCGTGCTTTTGTCTCAGGCCGTCAGCCGCCCAGTTTCTCAAGGCTTTCTTCAACGGGAGGTAGGAAGTTCATTCTATCAAACTCCTTGCCCAGATTCAGATGCCTAGGTGCACTTGCCAAGAAGAGATGCTAGCTGAGCCCAGTTTCTACTTTGATCTATTTTCGACGCCGAGAACTCAGCTTTTGCAGTCACAGTTTCTTGCTTCCACTGATTTGGTTTCAGGTTGGCGATCCAGTTCTGATGGCTTTCTTTGAGCTGGTGGGATTAGACGCTCCGGCAACTCATGCTCAAATCGGCCAGCACAGGATTGGGGACATGAATTTGCACGCAACATCGAGGAATCTTTGGGGAGGACCCGCCTGGGGGGAAGCTTCTTGAGGCAGGTGGCGGGCTTGCCTGCGTCGGGGCTCCATCTTCCTATCGGTTGGCATGGGTCATGAGTCATTACCCATGAGTTGCGGAACACTGACGCCCTTTGCATCGGACGCCCTCTGCAGGTGAAGTGACCCTTTTTGTTGTGGTTGCCGTGACCATGCCTCCATGAGAAACAAAAACAACTGCAAAGAATCCGGCAGCGTAGCCGGCCGGCACGCTGGGCTGGCGTGGGCGCGATGTCATGTGCCACGATTCTTGGATGAGCCCGAAGTTGTGGGTGGCCGCTTTGCATTGTCGGGAGCCAGTGCTTAAGCATGGTCCGTCTTCAAGGGTATGGAACTAGTCAACCAACTCAAGATGGGCAAGTCTCCTTTCAAGTTTCCGTCAGGACAGTTACTCCGGAAGCTGTAGGCAGCAGCTTTCAAGAGTTTGCTTGGTGTTTCACTTTCAGAAACCATTTTGGTTTCAGAAAGGGACCCTGTGAGCGTTGGGTTTTTGCACACACCTAAGTTTGCTGCATTCTGGCCAAAACCGAAAACAACTTGAGAAATCGAGAAGGGAACAAAAAAGGTTCTGGGACAATGTGCTGGGGTCATGCAAAGAGTTATCCACCTTACCCCTCCTCCTACAGATGTCAGGCTCCTGTCCAAAACCAGAAGAAAAAATCGAGAAATCGAAAGATTTTTCCGAAAACCGAAAGAAACCTCGAGAAATCGGAAAAAATGGGAAAAACAGATTCTGGGACAATGTGCTGGTATCATGTAAACAGTCTGTTGGCCAAATTAGTTTTTGTTTTTCCTGATTTCTCGAGGGTTCTTTCGGTTTTGGGCAAAATCTTTCGATTTCTCGATGTTTTTTGATTTTGGATCGTTTCTTTCGAATTCCCGATGTTTCTTCCGATTTTGGACACCTTCTTTATTTCTCGATGTTTCTTACTTATAAGGTAAGCCCAGCAGGAAGCAGCCAAGATAAGACAATCTGCAGCAAAAGCTTCAACACAGGACAGCTTTGCAAGGAAGAGCTTAGAAGGTTTTCAAACACCAAACAACAAGAAAACCAAAGGTGTGGCCAGCCCGACAACACAGCTTCAGGTGACAGCAAGCCCGACAGAGTCCTTAGCTTCCAGCCAGCTTGCACCCAGCCCCAGCCCAGCTAGCTTAGAGAAGAAACAGTTCAGCGTAAAGAAGTTTTTTTGGAACACCAGAGCAGCAAGCCAAGGAGATAGAGCCTGTGCTATCTAACAGGGTAGTTCCATACCAGAGGCAGCAGCAGAGCAAGCTGCAGGAAGAAGCTGCACTAGTGAAGTCAGCTTACCTCCAGAAGCTAGCAGAGCTGGAGAAAGAAGACCCAGAAGAAGTTGTAAAAAGACTGCGGTTTCAGAGAGAAGCAGGCAGACAAGGTGGCAGGCCTCCAGTTCTGGAAGAGCGTAGAGGAACTGCAGGTGGGCAGTTAAGCAACAGGAAGAAGGAGATAGATCCTTCCAGGAAGCAAGAGCTTTTTGCCTTTCAGAAGATGAAGCTTAGTGAAGAGATTCAGATGGTTCTGGAAGAGTCTTAGCCTCAGAAGCAGAAGCATGCCCAGTTGCAAGGAGAAAGTTCAAGATGAGCACACAGAGGCTGGAAGATTGCAGAAGAGGTTTGTCAGAGCAGCTGGTGGAGGGAGAAAGAGAGAGTTTAGCAGAGAGATCTCTCAACTTGGCAAGTGGTTGCAGAAAGAAAGGAGTTATAGCCACAACGTTTCAAAGAATGAGCTGCTGAAAGAGTTCTTTGCCCTTCTGGTTGCAAGGGCAGAGAGATGCATGGTCAGGGCAGAGCTTTGCAGAAATTAGATGCAAAGGAAAGCTTGGCTGAAAGAAGCTGACTGTGCCCTGCAGAGAAAGACCAAGCTCCAGCAGAGCTCAAAGTATGCAGCTTCTTCTGTAGAGAAGCTGATCCAATGGCTAGGTGCAGCTTACTTGAGCAAAGATCAGACTACTCGCCTGGCACGGTGCTGCTCCAGTTGCTGAGCTTGAAGATGCACATTTGGTTGCAGATGCAGAGATGATAGTTGAGAACCGATCCTCACTGGGAATCGGCACGAGTGATCAAGTCCCACTTTTGGGCCAAAGCTCCAAGCAAGAAGTTGGTCTTCTCTGCAGATGAGCTCAAAGGTGCCAGTTGGGACGACAGAAAGAGGTGGACTGAGATCAGGGAGGAGCTGAAAGCTGCTTAAGAGGCAGCTGCAGAAGGTTACCAGCTTGTCAGTTGGGCAGATGTAGGAGCAGGGCCTCTCAAAGTTGCAGGCAATAAGGTGATGACAGGACGAAGTTCAGATGAAAAGTTTCGTATAACGCACGAAGCTCGCCAGAAGATTTACAACATTGGGGCTCCAGCAGGAACAGCTCTGCAAGGCGACTTCTGCGGCGCAAGGTCGGCATAGGTAGCCATCCACGATCTCCTTGAGATCCTCGTAGGTCATGTCTTCTGCTGCAAGTGCCATCTTAGCCCAGAGTGGAGGGTGGGACGACTCAGTGCAGGATGCAGATGGATGAGATGCTTTCTAGCTGGCCAAAGTTGCAGCGCAGATCGCGGTCAGAGGATATATACACACATAACTGCACACAACCCCCCCAATTTGGAAAAGCACTCATTTCACATGGAAAATACCCACGCTGAGGGGGTCCCCCTCTCTTTGGTTTAGTCATGCCCTTTACACACATGACAGGAATTGTGCTATCTACTTCACCCTGGTGTACTTCCGTTTTAAATGGTTGTCCCGGGCTGCCTGCAAAAAAGCGTTTCTTGTTGCTTCACGGTAAATTACGGGGCTAGAGAAATGATATATCAACTATTATGGTTGTTTGCAAGGCGTTTAGTCAGCTGCATGCGCCAACTCAGACAATGGGACTCTCACCGCTACCTTTTACATGATATGTCCTGGTCAGATGGTAGGTAAGCTGGGATTTTTACCCCTGCCTTTCACATGCCTCCCTCTGTTAGCAGAAATTCCTTTTCTGGCAGGAACCAAGTACACTTTTGCCTCTACCTTGTACATAGTTTCCCTTGCCTACGAGGAAAAAAAGAAAAGGTGTCACCGGAAGCGTCAAAGACTGAAAGGTTCAGTTGGTAGGGGCTTTTGCCACCCATTTGTGCAGTGTTTCTTTGTTGCTTGGCGGTTCCCCGCAACAAATCGTCGACCCAGGCAAAACCCGTGTCCTGCCAGAAACACTTGAGAAACTGCGTCGACTTTTTGCGGGTGACCTGGAACTTGAACTGAGCGTCATTCCAAGCCAGAAAACTTAGGGTTTTGAAGAGTAACACGTTGGGCGAAAGTGGTTCAAACAACAAGTTGCCATGGCCCATGGCTCCCCAAAAGTGAACAACCGGTTGCCGTGACCCCGGGAGGCCAAAAGGAGGTTGCTCAAACAAAAGTGGCTCACCTTTCAAAATTGGTGTGTCTCAAAATTGTGGACCCCAATCTCGAAGCTAGAGGGGTATGTCTCAAAAATAGGGGACCTCTCCAAGTGACTGGATTCCTTTCATTCTTGAGAAACCATCCAAAGCAGCGTGCTCCTAGAACAGAGACCCAACTTGTCATACTTACCAGGGCAACAAATTCGGGATATTTTTTGTCTGTCCTATGCCACAAGATGTCGTCAGGAGAACTGCCCATGACGATCTTCCAGTACTTGGTGGTTCTTATTATTTGCATCCTGCTAACCGATGTTGCTGGCGTAGTAAAATCGCATGCCGTGGAACCTGGAAAGAGAATGCATAAAAGGTGTCAAAAGTATCGGACTCCGGTATTCTATTTGCGCCCCATTCAAAGCAGCCACCCAAGGCACGTTTGTTTTCACATAGGATGTGGAACCAGCCCAAAATGAGCTTCTCTTTGAAACAAGCCAAAAACCATGGCACCCTGAACAACAGGCACACCAAAAGACGTCCACCAAATGTCAACCCGTACGAAGCCACCGAGGATCTCTCGCGCCGGGCATGGGGACCAGGACGGATTTTGAAAGAGCAAGTGACCAGCGCCCAACGATCCCGTTGGCCAATGTGTTAAGGGGTTGCACTGGTTTGATACGGTCACTCAGGGCATCCATACAAAGCAGGCTGTCAAGAAAGACCCTGATGGCCAGGGCGTAGAACCAAATCCAATGGCTTTCGGGTGCTCAAATCATGATTTGCGGTGTTTGCTGGGGGCTGGCGCAGATGCAGCTTTCAGATCAGCCTTGCCACCAACGAGAATGAAGAAACTCCAAGAGGAAGCATCAGTTGAGTTTGAACCTGGACCTCCAGAGTCGTTGTTCTTTCTTGATTTTTTGTGTCATGCTTGTTGGTGGCCCCGGAAGTTTGCAAAGGCAGCAAGGTTTGGCAGCGGCATGGGCAACGGTCTCACGCATCACCGCACACGTACGCCAGATCGTGACGGAGGGCGGGTCCGAAGCTC